TGTATGGTTCCACTAGATGAGGTATCCAGAGCAGTCATACTCATAAAAACAGAAGTAGAATGGTAGTTGCCAGGGGCTTGGGAAGGGAGGAATGGAGAGTCATTTAATGGGTATAGAGTTTCAGTTTTGAAAGACGAAAAGAGTTCTAGAGATTGGTTGTGCAACAACATGAATGTATTTAGCTTAACAATGGTTAAGATGGTACATTTGTATGTATTTTAGCACAATGAAAAAAAAATACATGAGACCAAAAGACCTGAGCTGATATTTGACCTTGACTAGTATTTGACTCCTTTCCCAATGATACTGAATTCCCCTTAGTTCTAGAGGCAATAGCAACCATTCCCTTTTAGGTAATCAAGGCACTAGAATTATAAACGCTGGGGGGAAAAAAGCTTATAAAAACTTTCTACACTTGGAGAATGAGAGAAGAGAGAGACTGAAGGAAAGAAAAAATTACAACTTAACCTTGTAACGCTGCAACTGTCTCAGTGGAAGAGATGAAACTGATGAAACACCTCAGGTTTTGGCTACAGAGCATAAACTACCTCCAGAGGCTAGCATATATTTGTCCCTGACAAATATTTGTGTTTAGAAAGCTTTTCCTTGTGAAGGGAAATTATACATAAAACAGTAATCTCTAAATTAACAAATATTCTCATTTTGGGGTATCATAACTTAATGGTTCCCAAATCCAGCATTGAATTGCCTATTAGAATCCTCCAAGAAGCCTTAAAAAAATCCAGATCCCTGGCCCCAAGCAAATCTGCTGGAGCAGATCATCCAGAAGCAAACCAGTGACTACCATGTATCTTCAAAGATTCCAAGGACATCTTTATATGCAGCCTATGTGGGGAAATCACTCAAAGGAAGGACAGTTATGAGAAAGGCTACCTGAGCACATGCTCTAACCTCTTTCCACCCTCTCAAAATCTCTTTGAAATGACTGAACACAGAAGTATGAGACATCCATAGTGGTACTAAAAAACCAGGAAGAGTTCCATCAGCAGACTAGAAAACACTAAGGAATTTCTAGAAGATATAAAGCGATGGAATCAGTAAAACCCAAAATTGCTAAAGAGCCTTAAATGAACAGGATCATTACATTGTAAGTTGGTAAGTGTTGCTGGCAGGGCCTCAGGATATTTCCTAAATCAGAGGCAGCAAGTGTCTGCAGCAGATAGAGGTCACCTGTCCAAAAATAATTGAAGGGTTTGGTAACAATCTGCTAGCCTCTCACTCTCAGAGCAGCTAACTCCTGAACTGTCCCCAGAATGAAAATGAAGTGAGAGAGAGCAGTGATCAGGGTAAGTTCTGGTGGCAGAGATGAATAAGGAGCCCCATTCCCAGAAGGCAAGTTTCTTGTGCATATCCTAAAGGGAAATCCAACTGGGTAGACATACACCCCTCTCCTCCCTACCGAACATCCTCTGCAGACAAGATATCCTCTACTCACAATTTGTATTCACTATGATTTTTTTAAACTCATGTTGAGAAAACAGCTCCATCTAGACTCTCACTTATAAACTACCATCCAAAATCATGGAAAGAAAGAGCATTTTTGTTTCATTCTTTTGTTTAGAGAACAAATATAGGTATTAACTCCAAGGAAAAGAAGTAAATTCTAGAAATCAAAGAAAACTTTATCTCATTCATAAAATAAGAACAAACCACTAGAAAAAAATACAATCACTACTTGGAAATTATGAGCATAAGAGCCAAGAAAAACAAAATGAATCAACCAGACAAACAGTACCCCAGAAGAGAGGAACAATGGAATTTAAGTGATTCCCTTGATTAACCACAGAATATTTCTCTTAAGGTGATCATCATAAAACGTACTTTGGCAGGCCCCTCCAGCATTCTGTGGACTGGAGGAAGTACCCAGGGTTAGTCTGGGGTGTGGGAGTGTGGGGGGAAGTAAAGAGGGGGAGGGCAAGGATCTCACTGCAGTTCCCCAGACAGTAGACCTAGAGAGTCTGAGCCCTCGCCATCACCTTTGCCCAGGCGTGCCCTGTGCCTTTAATGTCCCAGAACCCTTTACCTTACTAAGGCCTACTCTGCACTCAGAGCTCAGGGCAGGTACCATCTACCTTCACTTCCACGCTGATTTACATTTTCTAATATCCCTGCATATCACCACAACTAAGTTTAACTCAATGAATTATAATTACATATTTGTGTCTCTGTCTTCCTCATGCTCTGAGAGATAATTTAACCAGAAGCGCTGATTCTATTCAGATACATAGACATGAGTATTTGTCATTCATTCTCTAAATATATCTTGCAGGCCTACTGGTTGAACTAAATGCACTGTTCTAATATCTGCAGGAAAACATACAAAAAGTATTCTATCCACCAAGTTCACTATTAAATATAGGTACCTATTCAGCCCATGTTGTAGTTCTCTGAATTCAATAGGGTGCCATCACATTGTGGAACTTCCTGAATTTTCATCAGGAAGGTAATTATTAAGTAATTATTATTACCTGATATTTTATGCAAATGGACCCTTAAGAATCCAATAACTTGGTTACAACTTAGATACACTTTTTGTTTCCCCAAAATGGGTATATGGCTGGATATTTTCATTTGTGAAATACTATCTGAGAGTTTCCCAGGAATCCTAAAAGGTACTGCCTTGCAGCTTTACAGTGCTGTTTCTGCTCTTCTTGACCCGTTACCTCAGGGTCACTGAACTGTAAACCCAGGCAAGTCTATTGTGCCAGGACTATAACAGGGTACTTGGGCCCTGAAAAGATACTATAGGTATCACCACAGGTCATCTAATGGCCCAGCTATCTGAGATATTTGTGTCCTGAGTAAAGTTCACAGAAATGTTTTCAAGGCTTGAACTCTCTGATTCTTCCCCCTCAACCTCACTATACTCTCTACACCATCTCCTGGACCATGTGCATCAACAGGAACAGAGCAGAAATGTACTTAGCCTCGAAAGTAGATCTGCTGGAAGCAGCAGAGGAAGGTAAAGGGCTAAACTCATGGAGAATCACAGCGAATGCAATTAGGAAGAAAATGAAAGCCCTGAAATTGTTGACTCACTTCTATCGCAATTTCTTGCAAAATCATGCTTCTTAAAGAAAGTTACAAATATTAATCCCATTAATCATATCTTTATTTTGCTGGGTGGGTGGAACTCCTTTACAGGTTGGGGAAAAAAACCTCCCTAAATACAAGCAATTAAAACCAACTCCCTACAGATCCAGTGTTGCTGAGCAAGGGCTCCTTAACCGATGCACACAGAAGCCAATACTATGGTGCCAGCTTTTGAGAAAAGACAAGGCTTTTATTTGCAAGTGGACTGACAAGGAGATAGGAGGCAAAACTAAAATCTGTCTCCTGGATCCAGTGTTTGGGGCAGGATTAAGGGGTTTCAGCACTGGATCTTCCTGGACAACGGACCTTTCACTTCTGGAAGGGTTCCAATGTTCAGGATCTGGTCGTATTACGGTCCTTTCGTTCCGTAGGGGTAGCAGTTAAGGGTGCACAAGTGTTACTCGTGAGTGGTGTTCACAAGTGTTACTCGTATACTTTGATTCCACGTCTTGCTAGAAACAGGATAGGACCAGTTTGAGCTGGTTCTGGGTTACATCGGGAGTTCAGAAGTTCAGGTACCCTGGGGACCTGGGAACGCCATAATCCCTACCCCCAAATTTATATCTCTCTTTAAATCACTCCCCATAAACAAGACAGAAGCATAGTAATGATTTCCACCACAGGTTTGGGGACGCTAAGAGTTTGCAATGCCAGTTAATGTCTCTGTGACACACCAGAAACAATGTATTGTGAGAATGAGGAGCTATCCTCTCAAAACAGTTAACAGTCTTTAGGTAGAAGAAATTCTCTAAAGAAAATTGAGTGTCTCTTACACTGCCATGAAAAATAAATCCTACCTCCTCAACAAGATAGAAAGGCAGCTGGAAGAGCATTCAACACAAACTGGAAAAAAAAAAAAAAAAGTCTTCCAGAAAACTTTAATGCTTTTTCCACAGAAGAGAAAAAAGAGAGATTCAGGGTATTTTCTTTGAAATAAGGGCTATTTGTAAAGTTCACCATCTGGATTTAATCTCTAACTTTTAGAGATAGAGCACAGGAATATGGGTAATACAAGTCTGATGGAGGACGGAAAAGATGCAAACAGAAAAGGCACAAAAACTAAACTAGTCTTTAATAATCAGAAGTATAGGCCTAGAGGCCAGGAAGTGATGTGCTTTAAACTCTTTTACACTTAATTCTTACCATCCTATAAAAGCAGATTCAAAGAACAGCCCTGAAGTAAAACTAAAGAATTTAGGACTAATTAGTTATGAAGCCTAGTGGTGAGGGTGAAGGAGAAGGAAAGAATCAGAGAAGGAAAAGAGGTCCTTTCTCATTGAAAAGTCTGACTGCTTGTCTCAGCTCCGGTTCTGAAATCTCCCACAACACTGAATGAGACTTTAACACAATATAAAGGATGATATGCTTCAAATCTTTGGAGAGCAAAATTTATACATCATATATATTAATATACAGCCTCTTAGTAGCATTGGTTCTAAGTAGGGATACCAGGCTAGAAGTTATGGCCTAATTAATACGAGTCTGATAAATATAGCCTGCTATACTGAAACTGTTCAGTGGCTATATAGATTGCAGGTAATTTATGAAAAAAATTCTAATTCAACTGACTAGTGCAGTTAAGTGTCAAACAAAGGACAGTGAAATATATGTTGAAATTTCCCCATTTTACAAGGGAGCAACTCTAAAGTATAATTAAATAAAAAGCACATGTTATACAAATGTCATCATTTTAGTATGACAGGCACTGATACACACCAGAGCTTTGTTTTTCCACAAAGGACTTTGTCATCGACAGCCCTATCATTTTCCAATTTAAAATCTCACATCTCAATAAATTCTCCAAGGTACTTACAATCTTAATTTAAAGCACTACAACCCACACAATCAAGTTATTAGTAAATGACAAGTTGGTAGCTTCCACTTACTTAGATATATTGTTGAAGCTGAGAAACAGACGTTGGAGGCAGGGCAAATTATCCACATCTCTCTAGAAGGAAACAGAAAGCAAAAATTTATCAGCTGAAAGCAAAAGAAATCTTATACATTTCTTCCTGCTCAGCTGTTGAAATACAGAGTCATTTCTATTCTCTGCAACCTTGCTACCACTGATTTCTACTAGACACTGAGCTCCATTCTTCTCCACTGCAGATTAAATGGGAGGGTTTCAGCACATCCGCAGAACAAGCTGCACCACTCACAAGGTAAAAGGCACTGAAGAGAACACGGAGAGATGCTGCTGCTAGCCTTTTTAAGCATGCTTTTGGGAAAGAAGCCAAAATGCTTCTTCAGCATTTGAACCATAGCACAAATGTGGTATGATCAAACATTTGTTAGAAATCGTTTTCAAAAGGAAGCCGTTCAAATGCTTTAAATTTTAAATTTATGCTATTAGCTTTCCAAACAGTACTGAAAATTTCAAAGCAATTTACCTCACTGTTCTCAAACCCTTGGAAATATACCACTCAGTTACAAATGAACCAAAACACAAACAATTCTCCAGTAAAACTAAATGCAGATCATAGTGAGCGTCACTGAAGGGCACCATAAGGGCAATTTCCATCCTAAGCACGAACGGTAGGTTCTTGTAATTGGAAATCTACTACCCTGTTCTGTTTAGGTACAGCATCCAAAAGCAAACGTCTGCCGTTTAAATGTAGTTACATTCAGCAAATGTTAAAATCTTTGACCCAAATTATTTTTAAAATATTTTTATTGATTTTTAGAGAGAGAGGAAGGGAGAGGGAGAAAGATTGATGTGAGAGCAGAATTTGGATCGTCTGCCTCCTGCACGCCCCATACTGGGGATCAAGCCCGCAGCCCAGGCAAGTGCTCTGACTAGGACTCAAACCAGTAACCTTTTGGTGCATGGGACAGTGCTCAATCAACCAAGCCACACTGGCCAGGGCCCGAATGATTTTAAAAATCACAAAATAAACACAAAGTTACTAACTTCATTAAGTGAAAAGACACAAACCTTCTGAAAATATGACACAGTGGAGTGACAGAATCTTAAGAGAAAGCTTAGTAGTTACCTAATCTGCAATCTCGTTATTCACATACAGAAAAGTAAACCGCTGAGGCTGTTGCAGGGGCAGGGTGGGAGTGGGGTGGGAAGGTGACCCAGGATTACATACCATCCTAGAGGCTGAGACGGCACAAGATTCCATTTATCCTGACTTCCAGTACTTTGCTCTTTGAAACACTACACTGGCATTTCTCACATAAAATGTTTATTATTTTTAAGGGCAATATAATTACAATAATTCCTAGTTATATGTTTGAATAATGCTAATATAAATATATACATTTTGCATATTATTGTGACCAATATTTAAACCCAAATCAAAACTTGACTTATTGTTTCTATTAAGTCATCATCTTTCCTCCTCCCTCCTGTTCTTCCTCCCTTTAAAACTACCATTTCCAAGACCCCAGTAAGAATTTAGGCAAGTGCATTAAAATTACAGACAAGCCCAGCTTTCCAAAATATGGTTCATCTATTTACTTTTAAAAGCTTGTTGTAATATATATATGTGACAGAATTGTGGTAGAGCCACATCTCATTGATTTTTGAGAGAGCAGAGGAGAAGTGAATCTGGCTTAAGACATTCTCCCACGTAGCTTCCCTTGTGTACCATTCTCCAACCTTCTCTCAACCCCTTAGACCCTAAAAAGTATAAAACTAACATAATTACAGTGACCAAATCACCAGCTACGTACACCATTCATTTGGCATTACCATTCTCAGGCCCACCCCTGAAAACCCTGTTCCATAGCTGTTAGTAATTTTTAGAGTTTATCAACCATGGTCAAGGAATAAGTCTGCATAAAACAGGAAGACAGCTAAAGGCCCCTCAGTGGGTAATAAGTTCTACATGTTGGCAAACTTCTTGAATTAGCTCTACCAGCTACCTCTTTCTCTGATATTCCCAGAAATGAGAGGGGAATGGGGTGGAGGAGGAGTGATAGATTAGTGGTAGTAGGGCTCATTTTATTCCAGGGCCCTGTTTTCCAAAGGAAATGGTAGTTTGCTTCCTATCTGCTCTCTAGAAGTATGGAGTCACAACCTAATTGAAAGCCCTCTCTGTACTCTTGGGGAATCTCTTCTCCCAAATTCTTCCTGGAATCTACTTAAGATATTTCTAGGGACAAGTATTGTTTGCTGACATCTAACTAGAAGAAACTGAGAAGCAGTAGTCTGGAATTCCACCTTTAAAAAAAAAGTACATCTGTCTCTTTGAGCCTACCACCTTCAGAGATTACAGACACCTTTCAAGACAGATTTTTTTGCTATCAAAATATAAAATCAAATTACATCAGGTAATAATTTGTGAGAAAGGTTTTTTAAAGTTTATTTGATTAAATTATAATGTTTTATATTTATCTTCACTTATAAAATACAATTTTAGCAGAAGTCTTTATCAAATTTTCAAAGTCAATAACTATCATGACCTGATAGAGCTATGAAAAATATTCACAATATCAGAATTCAACTATATATCCTTATAACCACGTTAATAAACGGTCTTTCCAGCAGTTTAAAAAGCAAAATAATTACACAATCATTTTTGTTGTTCCAAATTTCATTTTTTTAAAGAAAATTAGAACTTTTAATTTTTCTAGCAATTCTGAAATATACTTTGTCATGAATTCCTAGCATTACAATTTTGGGAGAATCAGCATTCAACAACCTGCTTACCCAAAATGTTTAATTATTTTGGAATGATGGGGAAAGGAGCGATGAGGGTTAAAGATGATGTAAAAAGGCAAAATTCTCATAACTTTGAGAAAAAGTCAGCATATTTATTTCATTGTCAAGCATTAAACCCTCTCAACAGTTCTTTTCTGGAGGTAACAATATCATAGGTAGAAAAACTACTGCAAAGAAACAATAATGTTAACATACTTAAGATGAAAATATAATGAGATAAAATATTTACATATAGAAGAATATCTATAGCTCATTTATTATTCATTTGTTCATAGTCTCAAGTTTATTATATTTAACAAAGCACAATTCTGAGAATCACATTCAAAACTTTTTTGAAGTAAGATTCAAAACCATTTTATATATTTTAAAAATATAATCCATTTAAAATAGATTTAAATAAAACTACTACAAGATTACTGAGGATTATAATTCTGTATTCTTCAAAAGCATAATAACTTGCCATTTGATAAATACGCTTGTCCTACTCTGCTCACTGTTTTCCACATTCTTAAACTTCACAGAAGAACTGAATGATTCAGCGATCTGCCCATGTGTGTAACATCTTTCCTGGGGCTATTTTTAGAGCAGCCTCCTGCAGAGGAATAAGGAAGGCAGGCAAGGGGAAAGCGGCTCTGGCATATGCCACGCAGGGCAAGATGACTATAATAAGAATCACGGCCATTCCTATCTTGTTATTTATTTTGTCATACCAAAAAGTCAGAGTAAAAGTACATAGGGGTAATTATTTTAATTTTGAGAACTGGAAGCACATTTATTAATAAGCATTGAATAAGCTTGAAAACAAAGGAAAAAGTAATATTTTTATAAAGAGGTTTATTAAATTAATTCCAAAATGCTACAGCCATCACTTTGTGACACAAATATTATATGAGGAATAATATGTGGAAGTCATCACCTCAATGGTCTAATCATATATTTAAATGCCAATGAAGAAAAGCCTATTATCTTGCTCTGTTACCCAAAGGCATTAATATGCATATCTGCTTTTTATATTTGTTTACTACCCATTACATGACAATAAATATCAGTCAATCTAGCTGCAAGTTACTCTTCAAGTCTGCTTTTCTTCTATGCACTGTTGTAATCTCCACACAAAGAAAAGAATAAAAGGGATCGGGAAATAAGACTAATAAGAGGAACTGATACTCTGACTATAGGGACTTCTAGTCTTTATAATCTAGGAGAGCTAGATTTAATAGCTATGAGGAAAAAGAGATAAAGCCTCAATTTCATAATCATAGACCTTTCCTCACTTGAATTTTTAGTTCAAATTTATATCACATGCATGGCCTAACAAGACTCCTTATAAGAAATGGTCCCTAGTGTTCATGCCCCTATCACTCCTGGCAAAACTCACTGAAAAGACACAAACTCAACTCAGGCTTTAATAATATTCTTACTATCCCAAACTACTAACCTATGGGGGGGGAGAAAAAAAAAAGGCATGAGCAAGAGTCAGCAGAAATTTCAGAAAGCAAATGTAGAACTGCCAAAAAATTAAGAAATGCAATCACTTGAAAAAGACTATGGACTATTTTTGTTTAAAATTATTATAGAAACAACCTGGCCAGCGTGGTTCAGTGGCTGAACATTGACCCATGATCTAGGGGACTGGGGTTCGATTCTCAGTCAGGGCACATGCCAGGGTTGCAGGCTCATTCCCAGTAAGGGGTGTGCAGGAGGCAGCTGATCAATGACTCTCTTATCATTGATGTTTCTATCTCTCCCTCTCCCTTCCTCTCTCTGAAATCAAAGATATATTTTAAAATAAATTAAATAAATAAATAAATAAATAAATAAATAAATAAATAAATAAATAAATAAATAAAATTATTATAGAAATTAAATCAAATCATGAGAAAATATAATACTATAAATAAAGTGATCTGGGTATTTATGAAAAAATCCAAGCTGAACTTCTAGAAACCAAAATAATAGTCTTTACTAAAAACTCAATGGATGAACTAGAAATCAGATTAGACAAGACTGAGGAGAGAGTTAGTGAACTGGAAGAAGGCACTAAAGAAGTAAAAAAAAAAAAAGATATGCAGAAATGTAGCACAGAAAAATGAGAAAGATGGAAATTTTAAGAAACCAAGACTAGAACAAGAAGGTCCACACTATGTCTTATAGGTATTTCAAAAGCAGAAAGAGAGAAAATAAGAGGAAGCAATATTTGAAAATAGAAAAGACCCAGAATGTTCCTATAATTAATGAAAAATATGAATCTGCAGATCAGGCAATACAAATATTAG